TTTGGAAAAAGGCTGTAACATAAATAAAAAATAATGTGGAAAAAATGAAATGCTATGAATACTTTCCAGGTAAAATGTACATATCCTATGCTGTTGAGTGTGTAAGTGAATAAGTACATAATGCATAGCGTGCTATTTGGGACGCAGCTACAGGCCCACTAATCATTGCTTTTGGCCAGGTTTTGAGTTGTTACTTGGCTTGAAATTTTACTTGGACCTGGCAATCCTGTGTGCAAGAAGCTCCATCAATGACTTTAGAGTTTGCTAAAATTGCAAACCATATCTGCAGACTACTACACTAGAGGACGATCTGCATTAGATCAATAATGTCAGCACTGAACGTGGATTACTGCCACTTGAATTACAGCCTGAAAATGGCGTTAAAAAAGCAGAGACCTCTGGGACACATAATATATTAAATACAATCAAATCCTGCGGTCCACTAAGCCCTTTAACCTCCGCAGATGATCACGCATTTCCACGAACTTCACAGCAAATCTGCTAAGCCTTTGCTCTGGCTGAGAAACATCTGCTCCACGATCAACCTCCATACACACTCAACAATGACTACTACACATCTGAACTATCCAAAAACTTTGCTCCCTTTTAATACAGCAATGGTCAGATGTGGCATGACCTGTAATTAACCTCATCTTTTTTGCTCCTATAATCTAGACAGGCAGCAGGCTCAGATAAACCTTCAGTGCCAGATGTGACCTTGCTAAGCCGTTAATGACATCCGCTCTGTCACAGATCTGTCTCTTTTGTCTCTCTTGCTGTGCAGTGACAGGAAGATATGCATACATATACATGCATTGCACAGACATATGCGACATTACATCATGGCCAGTATAACCGCTTCACAGTTCCTAGTAATTCATATAGCTTAGAAGGCTTATTTGCGCTGATGTGATTATTTCATGTTTCCGAACATGTAGGTGTTTTACCCATGAAGTCAGTAGATAAGGATTAAAGTATTAAATGTCATCATTTGAAATCAAATAAATAAGGAGTAGTCTATACTATCTGTAGTTCACCATTTAAAGAGACAGTTCACCCAAAAATGAAAGTTCTGTCATTATTTAATCATCCCGCACTTGTTCCTCTTTGAGTTTCTATTTTCTGTTGAACACAATATTCTGAAGAATGCTGAAAACCTGCAACCAATGACGTCAATATTGTTTGTTTTTCCTATGTAGATACATTTATATAATCTAGTTTCAAATTAATAGTGATAATACACTCACTGGCCACTTTATTAGGTACAACTGCTCATTAACACAAATTTCTAATCAGCCAATCACATGGCAGCAACTCAATGTATTTAGGCATGTAGACATGGTCAAGACGATCTGCTGCAGTTCAAACCGAGCATCAGAATGGGGAAGAAAGGTGATTTAAGTGACTTTGAACGTGGCATGGTTGTTGGTGCCAGACGAGCTGGTCTGAGTTTTTCAGAAACTGCTGATCTACTGGGATTTTAACGCACAACCATCTCTAGGGTTTACAGAGAATAGTCTGAATTTATTATATAAAACAGGAAAAGATTAAAGAAACTGACATGGACTTGGCCTATCAATATTCCCCCTATTTCCAAAGATTTATTTAAACAAACCATTGTCATATTGATGATCTGGTGCATGCCTTCTATAGGTGATAATTTATCAACAATGCTTTTCTATTGTTTTATCTAGAAGAATCATTTACTAATTTAAACAACCTGAGTCCCACCCACCACCCCCACCCTTCCTTTTTTATTTCCTTTTTATCCCTTTTTTGTTTCGTATGTTTTTATTATTATTATTATTGTTGTTGTATTTAAAACAAAGATGTAAATATGATTGTGGTGTTATATTGTCATATTTTTATTACATCTCAATAAAAATATATTTTTTAAGTCTATGCAAATTTTATGCAAATTTGAACTTGTTTTAAGTCAGTTTAATTTATGGAGTGACTTGTAAAGTTCACTGGATTTTACCTTAACACCAACTCTTTTTTTTATTCAGTGTACTAAAAAGGTACCAATCGTTATAACACAAAATTTGGCATTATTTCAGTATAGTTAAAAACATAGCATCGTGTAAACATTTGCTTGCACTTGGCATATTATAATCTTAAAAAGGTTTACATTTTATTAAATTATTATTTCATGCCCTAAAAATAAACAAATGTATTATATTTTAAAATGTATTAACAATTATTAATGAACAAAAATGTGAACTTATTAATGTGTTTCTACTATATTATATAACTTAAATTAAATATAGTCTAAACTTTCATTTTGGCTTATGGATGCACATCTTTTGTATAGTTATTTTGCTATTGTTACTGTTACTGTTACTGTCATCACAACCTTACTAAATTGCATTTTCACTAGTGGTCTCAGACTTTGGGAATGAGATACGTGATTTTATATTGAAATTGTCATATTTATATTTGTTATATTTATATTTAAAAGGTTTGTTAATATTTTATTTCATGCATGTTCTATGGAAAGCCATTCAGTCAGTTGTTTAAAAAGTATAAAATAAAATAAAATATTACTTTGTACACAATCACATATTCCCTGTGTAAAAAAAATATTTTATTATTATTGTAATTAAATATTATTATCAGTAGTAGTATTTATCTAATATTTATTAATTAAGTGTTTTGTTTGTGTGTTTAAACTTTGTTCAAAAGTTTTCAAATCCATATTAAAGGTAATACTTTTTACAAATTATATAAATTTTATATACAAATATATAATCTAAATATTTCATACAAATATTAAAGAAAAATTAATACATTTATTATTATTTCTTTAATTAAATTTGAAAGATCTTTGCTCATGTTACTTATTAGCAAAACCAAGTGACGAAACATGTCGAGTCCAAATCCAGATGATTATCATTGGAAAATCCAAGATGTTTACATGAAAAATAACTTAAAAGTCCAGGATTGAAATCTCCCAGAGCAGGTCATTACATGTATGACATACTGAATACATGATGAATGTTATGGGTTGCCATTACTGAAGCAAAGAAAATGAAAGACACAGAGCCAGGGAGCATGTCTGCGGGGAATCCATCTACCATCTACATACGCAAATTACATAATGCTGCCCTGTTTTTCTCTCTCTCTTTTAAATATTTTTATTTTTTACCATTTAATCCCACTATATAGACATTTTTTTCTTTTCTCTGATGCTGCATAATCCCTCACTTATCCATCACACTCTCCTTCTGTCTTCCACTTTTGTGTGCATTTAATCCAGTGTTTAAGTATTTAAAGCAGGATATTTTTTGTTCTTAAGTGCTTCAAATCTTGATGATATAACAGGTTTTGTTTACTGCCCAGTCTCTTGACCTGTTGAATCCACGGCATGTGCTGGGTTTTTTCCCCTCTCTAATAAATCTCTCTTTTTGGTCAGCTATTATTGCCATTCTTATGCTTTTAACATTTACAGCGGTGGTGATCTGTGTGAAACCTAACATATATGTGAATGAAAAGTTTACCTTCAATTTTTTTGTGATTATTAATTTCTGAAGTTTTTTTTTTTTTGCGGTATTATCGCAATATAAAAAACACTTAAACTTGTATAAAAAAAAAAAAAAAATATATATATATATATATATATATATATATATATATATATATATATATATATATATATATATATATATAAATGTGTATTGCTTTTAATGTACATACAGAATACATTCAGATTAAATACTTTTTAAAATAAAGGATGAAAAATTTAAATTCTCATTAGTAAATGATAGTTAATAGATTAAAATCATAGCCATATTATAGTTATATGTTAAAGTTAATTTTAAACTGAATATTATCAGTTGTCAACTACATTTAATAAAACAATTGATTATGGCTTTTGACATGCTTAATAAATGCTTTTGTAGTTATTGAACTGAATTAAGTTCAATTAAATGTAAATTAAAATTTAATTACATTCAATGCATCTTTACTGTACAGAATTAATGAACAATAGGCCTTTAGTGACAGAATTTTCAATGTCATAGGGCAGATTAACATGTGAAAATGTTAATGTTTGACAATAAATTGCCTATTAAGCCTTCCAGAAAGGCATAAAGAGATATGATACACAGCCAGCCGGAAGTGCGATATGCACATCAATTAAGCAGCATTTTTTATGACACTGCCACTCTAAAGCATGTTATTTATTTAACCCAATGGTTGAGTTAAACATATTTGGTGCTTTGTTGGATTATTTTTTTACCTTTTTTAGGTTATTTTTAATAATTCAACAGTTAAGTTAAATATTTTGTCCTTTATTGGGTTATTTGTAACCTTTTTTCGGTTATTTATTAGAAAACACTTCAGTTGAAGTAAATTTTTGTGCTTTATTTGGTTATTTTATAACCTTTTTTAGGTTATTTTTTAAAAACTCAACAGTTGAGTTAAATATTTTGTGCTTTATTAGGTTATTTTTTAACCTTTATTGGGTTATTTATTTAATAACTCAACCAGTTGGGTTAAAAACTTGAATTTCAACAGTCAACTGATGTAACTGACACAGAACAGCTGTATTATTATGCGTGCGCCATGCTCACACATTACATATAAGAGCTTATTAGAAAATAAATAAACTGAATATGTATAATAAATAGAGAATGAACTTATACATTGTGAATACACTTTTAATGTGTGATGAGAACTTTTTAAATATATATGTTTTAAGTTTGTGGTGATGAAAATGACAGTGGTGGAAATGACATTTCAACAGTTTATTGTGAAAAAAAATGAGAAATAGCTTCACTGATTAGCTTTCAATTGATATTAGCCTTTCATGTATACAAAACACTCTCATTTAACTTAATTTTGTTTGGTTTTTAAAAACAAATGTGAAGGTAAAACATGTTTGGAAATGACGTAGAATAAATGTATTTCCTTATCAAGCAATATTTACCTTGATTTTTTTTTCAAGTGTTGTTGATAAAATTTTAATTCCCTCCATGAACATGTTCTCAGATGGCACTATTCATTTTCATAGAAACCACCTAAATAATCTCTCACACAAACTATTTAAAGCGACATCCCAACAAACACACAACGTTGCCTCAACGTAGCGACCTTCCTACAACGTTGTACCAACATTGCAAAAAGGTTGAGGATTCTACGTTGTTTCTAAAGGTTGTCACAACGATGTCATAAGGTTGCCATTTAAACATCATGAGGGTCGCATGCTTTAGGTTGTGCTTAGGTGGCGTGGACGACCACTGTACAACATTTACTGGTCACAGCTGAATCAGTTTAAATTTCAACAAGCCGTCGTCTCATTCATCAACGACCGAGGAGACGTGAGTATTGCTTTATTTCTTCATGCTAAATAAGATACATAAATCGTGAATATTCAAACAAACCTATGATTTCGACAACAATCTGTTCCAACATTACACACACACAAAAGCCGTAATGAAGTTATTACGAGCGAGTAACATTTCGGCATTCCGTTAACGGACTGCAACAACATTAAAATCATTATGTTAAATCTCTCGATAAAACATTTCCTGATTATTTACCTACGCCTTGTCTTTAGTCAAATGGACAATAATGTTTTTGAAGTTCAGTTTTTTCCATATCCATCGTGATCAGTTAGTATGATACTTCATCACACAAGCCGACCCACTTTTTACAAAACACAAAATAACTTTTAAAAACAAAACATCTCTGTGCAGATTGCGTCCCGTTAAAGGAACAGTTCACTCAAAAATGATATGTACTCACGAATTATTTGCCCTGTAAATAATAAGTGATTCCAAACCTTTAAGTTTCTTTATTCTGTTGAACATTAAAGACTGTAAGCATTTGCTTTCATGGTAGGAAAACACTATGGAATTAAATAGTTACAGTTTTCCAGCTTTATTTAATACATCTTCTTTATTGTTTAGCAGAAAAAAAGCTAAATAAGTTTGGAACAAATAAAGAATGAGGCTAAAATGGCAGAATTGTCAGTTTTGGGTGAGCTATCCCTATAAGTTAAAGTATATAAATTGAGGTTCATATGCCTAATTAATATAGATAGTAATTAAAAGGTCTGCTAGTCTAAATTTCTATTTTGATTGGTCTTTTGATGTTTTATTTAAAACCCACTCTTCTCTTTGCTCAACAGGCTATTTTTACATGGAGGTAATCTTCTATTGATAATTTCTGGATTTTAATTATCCGTAAGTTGCATGAAACTATTGTTTAATCACTCACTGTTGTTTTCAAATTACTTATGTAACTTGTCTTTCAGAATGTTTTCAGCTGTTGAATTCACCTCAGATCAGTGTTGCTGTAATTCCTGATGGAAAGAAGAATTGAATGAGGTAAGAAGTATACTATTCTATTTACTATTAAATGTAGTTATGTTACCTAAAACAGCATGTCCATAATGTGGAAAATAGATCATGCTTATGAAAAATTACTTTATTATTTTGTACAGCTGTTATTGAAATGACACTAAGTTTAACATTTCATTAACAGCGAGCAACGCCACAACTACAGGACCTCTTCTTTCTCTTCTCATAATTTACAGTAAGTAAGTATTCGGAGACTAACTCTGACTTCTGTTAACTCAAACCTGTTTTCCCTGTATCTCTAAATTTATTTAATTGTTTGTAATTTTGGTATATGATATATTATTAAAACATTAAAATAAAGTAGGCTACATAATTACTCTGGAGATTTTATATGTAATGAAATTACAATAAATGTCGGAAACTTCAATAACTTGCTAGTCATAGTCATTTCCTGTGTAGTGCTGTTGTGTCAAGCTCTGATCTGTCCTCTCTTGTTCACTGCCTATTTTGACTTTTGTCTGCTGTGGATCTCTGAAGCTGGATTATCCGTTGAATTTGTTTCTTCCTCTGACTGCTTTCTCCATACCAACAACTACGACTGGTCTTCAGCTGCGCTCCCCGGTCTGCTGTATTCTCCAGTCCAGAGCTTCACTGACCAGTGTTTGAATTTTAATTTATATATTTATTTATATATTTATTTACATTTTAATGATTTCTTGTTTACTTTTCTTGTTTGTTTACCCTTTAGTTTAAATATATATATATATATATATATATATATATATATATATATATATATATATATATATATATATATATATATAATCTAAACTTTATTTTATACTGTTTGCTTATAATTAGATACTGTATGTGTACTGTATGTATTAAATGTTGTGAAATATATAATAAAAAGTTTGATTATATTCATTTGTGTGGCATTTTTACACTTTAAAGTTTACACATGCAGTTTTTAAATTAAATAGGAAAAATAAATGAACAATATTTCATATTAAGCAATACTGGAAAAGAATTGCTGCTTATCCTGTATTCTAGGCAGTAATGATAAACTGCCACAAAAAAATATTAATACAAGTAGTAAGAACGCCGCCTCGCGGTTGCTGAATGTCGCACGACAACGTTGCTACAGCCTTCTCACGTCTTACATTTCTACGTTGTGACAATGTAGCGAGCACGTAAGCGGCAACGTTGCCTTTGAAAAAATACAACGTTGTGCAGACATCGCTACAACGTAAATGTGTTTGTTGGGATTGTTGTGGTGGAAATGACTGATACTGTGCGACAGCTATATTTTGTATTAAAAATATATTGATATAGTCTCTTATAATATTTTACAATGTTATTTTCATTGTTGGAGTTTAAAACTCTGGCTGTGCGACAAGGTGAAAACAGTGATTTTGACACCTAAAGGGAGGTTGAATAACATGAAAAAAATATGTAATAGTATTTTTTAGAGTAGATTTTATTGTTAGTTTGACAAAGAAAGAGGAATCTGAACAAAATAATATTTTTGGATATATGATCAAAGGACATAAAAGTGCCCGTAGTTGAAGAATTAACGTTACCCATGTTCCTTCATTGATAAACACTTAACAAATAGTTTTGCTTGTTTAAACTACTTATAATGAGCTGAATCATAAGTTGATTGAACATAAAACAATTGAGTTAACTTAAACGATTTGTGTTGGAAAACGTGAAGAAATTGTGTGGCAGAACCCCGCATATTTTAGCGTAGCCTATTTGTGCTAACTAATTTATGCTAATCACCGTTTTGGTGCCTTAAATTCCCTTTTCTCTCACAAGTCATCGAATTTTGTTTTCATGACCTAAGTAAATCTGTCAAGAAAAAAACGTTGTATATTACCATGTTTCTTAAACAAAAAAGGTAATTTGTTAAACCACACATTATTCAATTTTGCCGCCACAACAGCTTACCTTTACATGATTATCATCCGTGATCGCTGCCCCATTAGTTACCTGTCAAAGTGATATTTACATTAATGACAAAAACAAAAATGTTAATTTAATAATTGTTAGTACAATATTTAAAACTTTTTTTTTAATAGTGACATTACAATGAGCAATACATTTAGCTAGGCTAATTGTGCTATCCCGAGTGTTGAGCAAGGCGTGCGGTTGAGTCTCCGGGCCTGCAGCTTCATATATCCATATATTGGTAGTGTTTGATAAAATAAAATAATACACCAATAACAAAATGTAAGGTCGTCAGCATGAAAACAGCCTCATGAGGACGCTGTCGTCAAACATACTTGTTTTCAACAACATGCTGACTACAACACACTTGCCAAGAATTTTCTTCATTCTTATCTAAAGATCTCAACTGGTTAAAGGGTTTATAACTAGAAAAGTGAGTATCATTTATATAGCACATTGTGTTTCATAATAAATGAAAAGTAAATTGTAATTATTTAATGAGGCATATATCAGAATTTGGAAAGGTGAAGCCTCCTATAAGAATACTGTGATAAGAATTTAAATGAGATATTTTATGTAGAAAACAAACCTAGATTATTTAAAAAGTAGTTTAGGGAAGTTTAGGTCTAACACTGTTAGATAAACACCCCAAAATAATTGCTCAAGTTGCTCAGAGGGATGAGGAGTGCAAAAAGACTTTTCTGGAAAGCAGTACCAAAACTTTGCAAGCTCACCAACACTATCACTTTGGTACAGAACTGAATAAGACACTTGATCCTATAAAGCGACTCAGTATCATTTCCTATCTAGCAAATAAAATAAATTTAGCTCAACTGGAACCAACAAAGGCTTCCAACATTTGAAACGTTCATACAACTCTTGAATGAAACAGTGGAACAATATACATAGGCCCTAAGGGATGTCTTTCAAAAAAATATGGATGCTTCTAATGAACCTTTGACTACCTCAGATGTATTTTCATAATAAGTGTGACTTTACTCAATCACAGCAGAACTTTATGATGATTTATATATTCTGCTCATATTTTTATTCATTAATTATGACTTTTGTTACTCTACTTGTGCCTACTGATATCCTGTTCTTTGTCCTTTTCTGTTTATGTTTGTATGTTCATTAAAACCAATAAACAAATTGAAAAAAAAATCAAATAAATAAATAAATACATAAATATATATATATGCGGGGTTCTGCCACACAATTTCTTCGCGTTTTCCAATATGATGAACAGAGAAGGTGTTTCTCCAATATCTTGGAGAATTTTGTTTGTTTAAATTTAAATTCTCCGTTGACAAACAAGCCTTGCTAGCATGTAAATGGGTATAAAAATTTACAATTATTCTTTTTTATTGCATTAAAAAACTCATTTTAGTTTACACTTTTGTAAGAGTAAATGAATAAATAGAATGTTTTTTTTTTTGTTTAACTTTTTTTTTTGTAAATTTTTACTTGAAATACATCATGTTAAACATACATTTAAGGCAATTGAAGGGATAGTTCACCAAAAACATATTTACTCACCTTCAAGTAGTTACAAAACTGTTTGAGATTCTTTTTTCTGTTGAACACAAAAGAAGATGCTTTGAATAATGTTATGAACATTGACTTCATTAAAAGGGGAAAAAAAAGCTATGTACCATAAATTTTAGATTTTGTGTTCATCAGGAAAAGCAGTAGGTTTAATATTGTAATCATGTATATTTGTTCACAAAGGAAAATCTGTTTCCACCCCCCACCTATAGGGATAGTACACACAAAAATGAAAATTCTTACCCTGAAGTGGTTATAAACCTTTGTAAATTGCTTTGTACTGTTAAACACAAAAGAAGATATTTTGAAGAATGCTGAAAACCTGTAACCACTGACTTTCAAAGTAGGGAAAACAAATACCATGGAAGTCAGTAGTTACAGGTTTCCAGCATTCTTCAAAATATCTCCTTTTGTTTCAGAACAAGAAAAAAATTCTGAAAGTTTTGAACCAAGTAAATGAGGACAAAAATTTAGTTTAGGATGAACTATCCCTTTAAATTACAAAAGGTCTTGACATTTCTCAGTGCATAAACATAACAAAAGTTTGTATTTTAAAGGTGCTGTATGTAAGTTTTTGAACATTCTAAAGCATAAAAATGCCATAATATGTTTGCAGATATTTAAGAAACATGCAAGTAAAGATTCTTGTTTATCTGAAAAACAATGCTGAAGTCAGATATTCTGCTTTGAAAATGTGTTTTCTGTGCCGGAACGGCCGTCTTTGTTTTGGTAATTTTAACCTGCTCAATATCAGTTTAGCCAATTATATTTCATCTCCCCGGGTTGCCTTGGGGGAAAACCGCATATTACAGTCTTTCATTCAGAAAGGCTCCAAAAGCATGCGTCCGTGACCAAAATGCGACCTCCGGTGGACTGTAGCAGACTCTGAAATGCGACAAATTCAATTCCACATAAGCTTATTATTTAGCAAATAATATAAATATAACAAACGTAAACATTAGGTGAGCAGGTTACATTGTAATTGCGTGTCTTAACAACACGCTTCGTGACAAGATACGCAGTGATGAGCAGTTTAGCACTGAATAAAGCACATGAGGTGTACCTCATTGTCAGTGAGGTACAGGTGATCATTGTCAGTTTTCTGTTGTTCACCTGTTGAAAAAATAGAAGCCATTTCTAATATATCAATTTGAGGTGTTGGTAAGGATAAAACTCCTTTTAATATGGAAAATATTCCTTCTATCGGGTGGCGTTGCTTTTATTTAGAATATGATTTAAAGCACTGGCTTCTGTCCACAATCTGGCTACCTGCGCTTCCGTATGTTTTGATCCAAGAGTGCAATACCTAGTTCAACCACTGGGTGTCAAACTTACATCCTGCACCTTTAAAAGTTTAGAAACTAAAAATCAACAGTGCAGAGGAATCAAACGATGCCGACAGCTGATGGTAGTCAATGATGTTTTCTTTTATTTGTTGTTACAGTATTGTAAATTGAACGTCACTCTCCAAAAATTCAGACCATCCCGCACACAAACGGTGGGGTGTGGCCTGCGGCATGTCAGTCAAAGGTGGGAGGGGTTTCAAGGCTCTTGCACTCAGTTTAAAAATGAAACCGTATCCATTCGCCTACATCCACACTGCGATCAGTGCTGAACCAAACTAATCCAAATCAGAAAACCGTTTACTCTTTGAGCCACGCAAGTATAACAAACTCTAATCTGACATCAATGATCCTACCTCTTGAGGCATGTACATGTTTCC